ACCGAGCAATCATTGCTTTTTTCCTTGGGCTAGAAACAACCCAGTTTTTTTTATGATTGTCATCTTCAAACTAATTTCCTTTGTTTGAAATTGACAAGGGGCAAACTAACAAGCATCTTCAACCGCAGACTGGCTGTATCCAACCTCCCTTTCTCCATGGCATCTATTATTGAAATGCTGTTTTTTCCTTGTTGGGACTGCGGTTAATATACTACACAATGGAGATACATTGTGGCGTGATTCCTAGATCTTCTGTCTAACTGTTGCTGGAGGAGGTCTTCCTTCATGCTTTTAAATAAGGGCGCTGTAATTTCACCTGCTGGGTCATTTAATTAGCTTCGATTTTATTATTTGCTTCAAGTGTGTGCATGAAATTGTAATTTATTTTTCCATGTACTTTATGATTGACTGGTTTTAAGCCTGCTAATTCTTTTTTTTCCCCTTCATATTGATAGTGCAGGTATCCGTGTGTGTGTTTGTGTGTGTGTGTGTGTGCATGTATTTGTCTGTGTGTGTGTGCATGTGTGTGTGTGTGTGTGTGCATGTATGTGTGTGTGTGCATGTATGTGTGTGCGTGCGCGTGTGTGCATGTGCATGTACATCTGTGTGATATTGAAAGCTCTCAGCCGTCTGTTCTCTATTTTATTACTGTGTACTGTAGAGAATTGAATGCCTCTCCATCCTACAGTCACTGCATAACACAGAGCCTTTCTCTTTCTCAAGAGTAGGCCTGCATCATTCTTGATTCTTGCTGACACAAATGTATTTCATTTATTGCATTGCATTGTTTTTTTAGTTTTTTTTAATCATAAAGTTTCACTTTGGAAGCCTCGCCCTTAGCATTTCCCTCGGTCTGATTCTGCTGACCAGATTAGGGGTCTTGCTGTGGCATTTAGATACCAGCGGCAATACCTCTAAGCAAAATGCCAAATAGTACACACATACACACACACACACACACACACACACACACACACACACACACACATATATATATATATATATATATATATATATATATGTGTGTAGTTGTGCATAACAGAGAAAATATCAAAAAAACAAAGCGGCAGTGTGTGTGTGTGTATGTGTGTGTGTGTGTGTGGTTGTGTGTTTAGGCGTGCGTGTGTAGTGTACCCATGCTTGTGTGTATACGTGTGTGTTTCATGTGATTCTATGCATAGACATCCCCATTGTGTGCACTTGAAAGGTGAATGGCCAGTTATATGGTGTCAGATAGCCTGTTTCAGATTTAGGCAGAGGATGGCTAGAGGCAGAGGATCGATGCTAAATGAGTTAGCCTGGTCCTAAAGAGGACATACAGGGTTATATGCAAGAGGAGTTGGGTGGGGGACAGAGGCCGGGTATCTGATTATAAACCTGAATGGAAACCTGTACACATCTGAAACACAGCGTAGCTAGGGGAGGAAGAGCATGTTGACTTCAGTAAACGAATAATAATAATAATATAAACCTGCTGCTGGCCCACATACAATCGTTAATGTTCTTTTCTTTTCCTTTGACTGTTTGTGTTGGATATGTGGGACTGTTGTTTGAATGTGAAGCAAAATGACATGAACAAATAGTGTTTGTTTTCTGTACAAGTGAAGCCTGATTATTACTATGAATATATTCTTAGCTAATCTTTTTTTCTCCTTTCCCCTGTTCTTCTTCTTCTGCAGTCACAGATGAAGACACAGTAAAGAGATACTATGCCAAGTTCGAGGAGAAGTTTTTCCAGACATGTGAGAAGGAGCTGTTGAAGATCAACACATTTTATTCAGGTATGATAATCTTCCCTAGTTGGCTTGACTGGCTCCATTGTGTTTTGTACTCTGTGCCTGGATCAATTACCAATGTGATACTGCTCTTGATCGTCAACATGAGGTTTTTAGTACTGGAAAATAATCCTAAACCTCAACTGAACCATAGTTTAAGCATGCATGAAATGTAACCTAATATTGGTTACGCAATGTAACCAACGTTTTTTACAACAATGTATATGTATCATGATTGATATGATTATGATTTTTGCGTATGATCATTGTTATTATTATTATTATTATTATTTCCTCATGAGTCTGTCCAGGTTTATGAAGCGTCACATCAATACCTAAACTGCAATGCCTCTAAACATGGTTCTTCGGTAGAGTTGGTTCATTGCAGTCATATTTACCCCCGCCACGCCTGTCTGCATGTATTTTAGGGAGCACAGCAGTAGTATGTGCGCCATGTAACATGAGATGGAAGCCATATATTCTGGTGTGTGAACTTAGGCTCAGTGAAATTGAGTGTTTTCAGCTTTGAGCAGACAGTGCTGCCTCTAGAGTACACCAGGGGAACTGCAGGCGTTTTGGGTCAACTCTGGGCCAAGGTTAGCCAGCAATGTCCATCCACGGTTTTGTCCCAGTTCATAATGGCTATACTCAATTATAACGTAAACTAGAACTATGGCACAAAGCAAACAAAAGTGATATGATTAATTTGTTGCAAATGTATGTTTATACTTTATACCTTACTTCAACAAATAACGGGGTATCTGCCCTGGTGTATGTTGATCGTATGCCAGAGGTTATATGGCTTATATATTACATGGTCATACAGGAGCTGTTGGATGGCTCTAAGAGCTGCTTCTATTCTGGGACTCCAACTAGCATCCTCCTGGCTTTGTAAGCCGTTTCTTTCCATGGACTCTCATGAGACACTTTTTATGGACAATGTTATGGAATTTACACTCAGTAATGATGTGAAGTATCTACACGAAGGACTCGGTGAGTCGGACATTGTTTAGAGTCGAAACAATGTCATACCACCACTCTGACTCTCACTCTGAAAATATGTATTAACATAATCTAAAATGTATTTTTTAGATGCGTGTGTGTGTGCGCGTGTGTGTGTGGAAAGCAGTCATGCTCTTGACTTTCTCATGCCTTGTACTGTTGATGTTGAAGAGGACAACTCCTGGACATCCCTGTGCTGAAACTCTCACAGGGATTACGCTCATTTTAGACATCAAAGAGGTGCTACCGTTGTTGCAATCCTGTTGGGTGTGTGTGTGTGTGTGTGTGTGTGTGTGTGTGTGTGTGTGTGTGTGTGTGTGTGTGTGTGTGTGTGTGTGTGTGTGTGTGTGTGTGCATGTGTCTGTGTCTGTGTGCACTCATAGATTTGTGTGTGTGTTTGTGCCCATATGTGTGTGTGTGTGTGTGTGCCTATAGGTGTGTGTGTGTGTGTGCTGACAAGTGTGTGTGTGTGCTGACAAGTGTGTGTGTGTGTGTGTGTGTGTGTGTGTGTGTGTGTGCATATGCACGCACAAGTGTGTGTGTAGGTGTGCTGAAAAGTGTGTGTGTGTGTGTGTGTGTGTGTGTATGTACTCACAAGTGTGTGTGTGTGTGTGTGTGTGCTGACAAGTGTGTGTGTGTGCGTACGTACTCACAAGTGTGTGTGTGTGCTGACAAGTGTGTGTGTATGTGTGTGTGTGTGTGTGTGTGTGTGCAAGCAACCAAGCGTGAAAGTCACCATTGAATCTTCTGCAGTAAATCTGTTGTACTGTGGGAAACGGACGCTGGTTGGGTCTCAGATGTCTCAGCTGTCTGGGTCATGTGATGCATGGGATGCATGTGACATGTGATGCTGAGGGCCTCTGGACCATAATGTATTCTCATTAATGGCTTGTTGGATGCCCATCGGACAGTTCTATCGCATTATATTGCACTTTATTAAGTGCGCTTCTGTCACTGCAACAGAGGAGGTTATGGGACATCGTAGACCCACTGATTTTACCCCTCGATAGAAAATTCAAAGTGGACACGGCAGAGTCATTCGGAGTGTGCACTTCAATTACTTGATGCGTGATTATGTTTCTTATTGTCAATAGACGGAAATGGGAGCGGAAAGTGACGAGACTATTGAGCTGATGAAACTAGACTCTGTAGGTAATGGGATTGAAGCTGTGTTCACAGCAGCACATGAGCATGACTAGAACTGTGGCTGTGGTGACTGTTATTGAGGTAGACTCCTTACAGACCAAGCAAGCGCACAGCTGTACCTGACTCTTTAGTAAATAAATATTTCAAAGTCCAATCGTTATTAAAAGCCCTACATTCTGTGTCGCCTTTTTGTTTTTTTGACAAACTAATTTTGTAAACTGGCAAGAAGTTGTGCCCGACCTCGCTAATTCACAGTTGTGTGTTTTTAATGTTGCCGCCATAGCGATGCTTGTTGACAACCAAGAGTTGCCCTTTCAAAATAAAAGCCCTGTTCCGTGGGAGATATGTTTTTTTGTGAGTTTGGTTATCGTAGTTTTGGACTATCCTTCGGGCCGTGATGTGCCCAGGTCTGTGGAAGACGATAGAGGGCTCCTCAGGCAGAGATCTGGTAAGTAATGCAGTGGAGCTTTGCCAGGCAGATCAGAGAGAGATTAATGCAATTCAAGGGAATGGCCACCGGCCAGGTGCTCTCCGATACCCTTCCTTCTTCCTCTCCCTCTCACTCCTTCTTTATCGCTCGCACTCATGTTCTCTAGCTCATGCTTAGCCTCTCACCCACGCACACACTCACTGACTCACTCGCTCACTCACACACATGCACTCTTACGCATACAAACACACACACACACAATCTCTCTCTCTCTCTCTCTCTCTCTCTCTCTCTCTCTCTCTCTCTCTCTCTCTCTCTCTCTCTCTCTCTCTCTCTCTCTCTCTCTCTCTCTCTCTCTCTCTCTCTCTCTCTCTCTCTCTCTCTCTCTCTCTCTCTCTCTCTCTCTCTCTCTCTCTCTCTCTCTCTCTCTCTCTCTCGCCTTCTCCCTGGGTAGATTAACCTAGCCCTGACCCCTGGTAATGGTTCCTAACCATGAAGGGTCCCTCCATGTCTGCTCCCCCTAATGCTCTCCTGCCTTCCGCTTCCTGGAGCTGACAGAACACTGACAGAGGAGAGGAGAAACCATAGAGGAAGAATAATAGGTCATTTACATATGGTGTCTGTTGTGTGTCACAAACGAGGTGGCAGGACAGCCTAGCGGTTGGGGCTCTTGACTCACCAGTCAAAAGGTTGTGGGTTCAAATCCCAACACTCACAGTCCACCTGTAGGTATCGCTGAGCAAGACACCGGACTCCTCACTAATGACATTTATCTATATATTTAAATATTATGCAAGTCATAATATAGACAGATCAATGAAAGCGTAAAAAAAGTGTGGTTTTCAAACGTGAAATCAATTCCACTCAATTGGAACGAAGGACGGATGAATAAATTGCCCCTTGTTCCCCCCCTCCCCCGTCTTGTAGAAAAGCTGGCCGAGGCCCAGCGGCACTTCGCCACTCTACAGAATGAGCTGCAGTCGTCTCTGGACGCCCAGCGGGAGAGCAACGCCCCAGTGGGCGCGCGCAAGCGCAAGACGGTGTTCCACCTGTCGCAGGAGGAGCGCTGCAAGCACCGCAACATCAAAGACCTGCAGCTGGCCTTCAGCGAGTTCTACCTCAGCCTCATCCTGCTGCAGAACTACCAGGTACACACACACACGCACACATACACACACACAAACACACAGAGTCATACAGACACACACACACACACACACACACATACCCAGTCATACAGACACAGATCCATTAACACACACACACACACACAGCTTATTAGTTCCTATAACGCCAGTATATGTTTTGAAGGAAAAACAAAACAAGATTGTTTGTCTTTGAACAAACAATGAGCCTTAGTACTTAGTTGAAGATGCACTTACAGTATATTGTGCAAGGCCAATATGTTAGGGTAAATATATATATATATATATATATATATATATATATGGTGTTAATGTCATAAACACCCTTTCTCTCCTCTCCTGTAGAACCTGAACTTCACTGGTTTCCGCAAGATCCTGAAGAAACATGACAAGATCCTGGACACGACCCGCGGGGCCGACTGGCGCGCGGCCCACGTGGAGGTGGCCCCCTTCTACACCTGCAAGAAGATCACCCAGCTCATCTCCGAGACAGAGGTAGCCACGCACACACACATATATACATACATTTACACACGCACACACAAGCACACACACACACACACACATATACACACACAAACTCATGCAGGCATGCAAGCACGCAAGCACACACACACCCACACACACACCTTCACCTAGTATCTAGGTGAAGGAAATGCCGATAATTGCAGTTCTTGTGTTCTTGTGTACCAATCAGCTTGTGTGTGATGTGTGTATGTGCGTGTGTGTGTGTGTTCTTCAGGCCCTGGTGACCACAGAACTGGAGGGTGGGGACCGTCAGAGGGCCATGAAAAGGCTGAGAGTTCCCCCACTGGGAGCAGCTCAAGTGAGTATACTGTGTCCATATATTGTGTCCATATACTGTGTCCATCCATATACTGTGTCCAAATATTGTGTCCATCCATATACTGTGTCCAAATATTGTGTCCATCCATATACTGTGTCCAAATATTGTCCATCCATATACTGTGTCCATCCATATACTGTGTCCAAATATTGTGTCCATCCATATACTGTGTCCATCCATATACTGTGCCCAAATATTGTGTCCATCCATATACTGTGTCCAAATATTGTGTCCATATATTGTCTCCATACACTGTGTCCATATATTGTGTCCATATATTGTGTCCATATACTGTGTCCATATAGACACTTGTATATGGACACAGTTGTGACAACTGCTTTACAGTTACCTTTAACAGCCAATTTAACCACTTAATGCTTAATGATGTGATCAGAGTTATTATCTTGGAGGTACAGAGAGACATCAAATATGGACATGAGGGTAATAGATATTATGAAAGGCACATGGAAATGTAAATGTTGATGACACAGGGAGAGTGAGAGAGAGAGAGAGAGAGAGAGAGAGAGAGAGAGAGAGAGAGAGAGAGAGAGAGAGAAATAGAGAGAAAGGGAGAGAGAGCACTCTTTGGTATTGATTTTATAAGTGGTGTTCCATTGCTGGATGGAAGGACATTATTCAAAAATAATAGTCCTGCGATGTTCCACATCTCCCATATCAAATGTAGCATTACTACAATATTAATTACTGTCATCTCTAGACCAAATCACAAAGTAAATATTGACCTGTTCATCTTAGATATGAAAGGGATATGTTAATGAAACAGGAGGAGCTAAAGACAATTATTTGTTATAAATGCCCACACTACATTACTCCCACACAAATCTGCCTCAAGTTATGCTAAACAACAATAATTAATTATTTGGTCCTCCATAAGCCACAATAGATACATGTAAGCAACTTACTTTTGTGGGTATTATGTATTTAATATGATCCATTGCAGCCTGCTCTGGCCTGGACAACTTTCCGTGTGGGTCTTTACTGTGGAGTCTTCATCGTCCTCGCTATCTCCTTTGTCCTCACCGGTAAGTCACCCTCAACTGATATCTTACAAGTCCCGGGTGAGGTGGGGCAGTTGGGGATTAAAAATTCTTCCTCTGTGTTAATCTTTTACTGGTCTGTGTGTCATGCAACCATATTATGGAGTATATGTATATACTCCAAATGTATATAATACATAATATATTATTATCATTTTGAACTATAAATGTGTTCAAGTTAAGTATTATATAATAACAGCAAAAATAAAAGCAAATACACAAATATTATATGAAAATGATCCCGTCTATGATGATTCCTATAATAATGGTCCATTACTATTCCTACTACCACTACCAGGTGCTGTGTCCATCAGAGAAAAGAATGTCTGGCCCCTGGTGCGGATTTATCGCGGCGGCTTCCTGTTGATTGAGTTCCTCTTCCTGTTGGGCATCAACACCTACGGCTGGAGACACGCCGGGGTCAACCACGTCCTCATCTTCGAAATCAACCCCCGAAACAACCTCTCGCACCAACACCTGTTCGAGGTATGATCAGAACCCCTTATATCTCTAAGGGTTAGGACATGTTCAGATGAGAGAATAATTCAGCAGATGCTTTTATCCAAAGTGACTTACAAATGAGACTGAACATTTTCATCATAATGTATATTATAAATGATTGAAACCTCTCTCTCTCTCTCTCTCTCTCTCTCTCTCTCTCTCTCTCTCTCTCTCTCTCTCTCTCTCTCTCTCTCTCTCTCTCTCTCTCTCTCTCTCTCTCTCTCTCTCTCTCTCTCTCTCTCTCTCTCTCTCTAAAAATAATTATTGTAATCTCCCTTCCTCTTTGTCTCCCCCCCCCCCTCTCTCGCCCCCCCCCCCCCTTCTCCATCATAATGTATACTAATAATTGTTATGATCTCCCTTCCTCTTTCCCTTCCTCTCACCAACCCCCCCCCCCCCTCCCCTGCCATTCAGATTGCTGGTTTCCTGGGTGTGCTGTGGTGTATAAGCATCCTGGCCTGCCTGTACTCGGATTACATCCACCTGCCCATGCAGGTGTACCCGCTGGTGCTGTACGGCTTCATGTTGCTCTTCCTCATCAACCCCTTAAAGACCTGCTACTACAAGTCACGCTTCTGGCTCCTCAAACTGCTGGTCAGCCCACTCACATGTTGTGTTATTAGCACCTTGTGAGCCTTGCTGTGGGAGTTGGGCAGTATAGCCCTGCCATGAAGCAACGTGTGTGTGTGTGTGTGTGTGTGTGTGTGTGTGTGTGTGTGTGTGTGTGTGTGTGTGTGTGTGTGTGTGTGTGTGTGTGTGTGTGTGTGTGTGTGTGTGTTGTGTGTGCGGGTGCATGCGTCTGTTCTGTAATTCCAATTTTGATGTGTTAAGGTGATTTTTGATGGATCACAGAAATAATCAAAATCGATCAATCAATATTGAACACAATCGGCCTCGTTGTCGGTGTGTGTAAGTGTAGGGCTTGGCCATATGGAAAAATTCATTTACGATATCGATAAATATCATGATATGCTTATGAATTCAAAATACCATTCTTAAGTCTAATGGAGGGTCATTACATTGAAGTATATGGAAATATACAGTATGGTATTGGACTAAAACTAGTTTTCCTTTCTCACTGACATTTCAAACCTCATATTTGATCATTTTAAGGGCATAATTTTAAGGGCATAATTCATTTATACTTTAAAACTGGGTATCACAATAAGTCGATATCTTACTTTCATGACGATACAATACAATTCAAAGACGGTTAACGATATTATTTAATTATTGCCCAGCCCTATGTAAGCGTACGTGTTTTACATCTCTCGGCTGCCTCTAAGCGGCTCTCCCGCGTGTGAGCGCACATATCCCCGCTCAAATCTCATGTTTACAAAACCCCTGTCTGTTCTTTGTCTGCAATACGCTAGATGTGTGGATTGGGGGAGAGAGGGAGCTGGGGGGGGGGGGAGTTTGTAGGAGAGAGAGAGAGAGAGAGAGAGCAGAGGGGTGAGGGATAATAGAATGCAGTGGAGTCCCAGGGGAGGTGGGCGGCTGTGACTGTGCAATCATTACCAGCACAGATCTATCAGTATGTGGCAGCCCCCCCGAGCACCTCAACTAGCTCCCCTGCCTGTCTCTCCGCTTCCCTCCCCCTCCACCCTAACCTCCTAGCCAATATCTCCATAGCACACACACCCCCCCTCCACTTATCTTTCTCTCTTTTTCTCTATCACTCTCTTTGTCTCTCTCCTTATCTCTCTCTCTGTCTCGCTCACTGTCTCTCTCTCTCTCTCTCTCTCCCTCCCTCCCTCCCTCCCTCCCTCTGTGTCTGTCTTGCTCGCTCTATCCCTTACAAACATCTGTACACAGTCCAGAGCAACGCTTGTGAGTTACAGCGCTTATCACTCACGAAGCTGTGATTGGGTTGAGATATAACAAGATTCAGCTTCTGTTGCAGACACACAGGATTTGTCATCGAGTGTCACACATTATGCCTTGATGAAAAAAAGCGTCTTCCTCATAATAAATAGTATGACAAAAAGATATTTCACGGACATGACCTGGATTCTTACAGCATCATTCCTGATCTTTCCGCTGAAATAATGGCAACAGGCAGCAAAACATTTAATCACAGGGCAAACTGAAGAGGCAGCACCCACATGATCTTCTCTGATAGTGTTTGCTTTAGAAATGAAAAACCTCGCTGTGGCTTAGCCTTGAGACAT